GCATATTGCTAATTCTGCAGGCAGGTGAGATATTTACTGTTAAATATTGTCTCCCCCCACCCCTTTAAAAATGTGCCATTGTGTTGTGATAAGTCACTGTGTGTTGCTTGATATGGTTTGACTGTTTGTGATTTTATTGAGGTTTCACAACAATGTTATTGTGGTGACCCTATTGGCTGGTCCCAAGGGAAATAAAGGTTTTGACAGTTCTTCTTGATCCCTCTAAACGTAGCCTTGTCTCGTTATTGGAGGGAGCTGTTATAATCACACTGGGGATTGCTATGCTCTGCATGCTCCCCTGAGCTTGAGTCACTTAGCTCTTTTAAGAGCTTGTTCCTGACACGCTCTCCTTGGAGGAGGGGTCTTCACCACACAGTCCTGGAGGACAGAAGCTGATCCAGGGTGGAAGGAAGACGGCGAGACTCCAGTCAAGATACGGCGGTTGCGGAGTCTGCGGTGGTTGTGGTGTCTGCTGCAGTGCTTGGGAGTCCTCAGGAAGCGCTAGGAGCATCCATCAACGGAGGGTACTCAGTCGGAGTACAAGGAGCTCCGTTACAGGTGTCTTCTTTACATAGCGAACAAAATAGTCCCGATCAATGTTTCGACCCTCACGGGATCTTTCTCAAGGTCAAAGTGCAGTGTAAGTGATAGTAATATATAAGAAAAGAATTAAGTGACTTACCAATCCGTGTTCTGACCATTGGAACTGGAAGCTTGTGCACAGCACGTCAGTCCGCCCTTTTGGCACTGGTGATATTATGGTTGAGTTAGAGAGAATGCTATATCTGTCAAACTGCTTCATGAGATTGGGGAGCAATGTCTCAGGTGTAGCCACAAAAATAATAAGAAGGCGGCATAGGCCGCCACCTTATGCGTTTTATCTCCCACATGTAGTCCCAAAACATCTGAAATCTGTCTCACAACTTGAAGGAACGGTTCGAGGACAAGGACAAAGATAAAGGGCACCCCTGTCTCGTTCCACATCCTTTTTGGAAAGGCTCTGTAGGCGATGTTTATGCACACTCTGGCCGTGGGGTTGGTACTGGTTATTTTTTATGAAAGTGGTTTTAAGTTATTTTCTAGTACTTTGAGGTGGTTTTGATGATATCTCTAAAGAGTCAATAATTCCTCTTTGGTATTATTCTAACTTCCAAAAAAACAGTGGTTACCGTAAGGTAACGGACCCTTCTTCAACTATTTGACAATATAAGTTGTGTCATAAAATATTAGAATGGTGAAATTGTGATCTATTAACAGCTCATTGGCAGCCGGTAATGTGAAGATAAATATCCAATATAGGATTGTGATTATTTTTTTCTATATTTTTTTTTTTTTAAACTTGTAGTTTTATTGTATTTTGTACTGCATAAAACACAGAGGGAATGGGGGTACAGAAGGAAAGAAGTGGGAAACATTTCAACATGGTACATCATAGTCACATAATTTTCCACAATGTTTGTAGTGTCTGTGTTTACACATCAGCATATTACATCCTGCATACAGTTTTATCATGTAAAAACTCTGCTTGTCCGGGTAGTCTTCCTATGTGTGTCTCACACCCTTTCTGAGCAGTACTGAGCTATACACAGTAGCATGTTTATATATACATTACATTACAGGTGAATTGTGGTTTAGTATACACACTTAGTATACACACTATATACCTTCAGCTACCAGGGTTTGCCTGTCTCCAGTCACGCCACATCCCCCAGGCCTCTCTCACCTGCCATGTTTGTGGGTTAATGCTGCCAAAGCAGGTTTCATAGATCTGCTGGTTGTCTAAGTCCTGTTTGAAGGCTTTTACACTTGGGAGTCTAGTGAACTTCCAGGCTCTTGCTATTAAGCGTTGTGCTATCAGTAGAATATGGCAGATTGGTGCCATGGGAGTTTTGTGTGGTGTGTCCAGTAATAAAAAGGACAATGGGTCAAAAGGCAGAGTAATCTTGGTGATATCAATAATCACTTTGTGGATCTTTTTTCTGAATTTGGTTAGGTGGGTACACGACCACCACACGTGGAGAACCGTGCCCTCGTCTCGTCCACATCTCCAACTCAGAGGGGCCGAGAATGGGTACAACTTATGTATGCATGTGGCCCCCATTTAACACCTATACAAAGTTTTTTTTCTGTTGTTCTAGTAATGTGGATGTAGTTATTAACTGTTTCGTAGAGGATATGATATCTTCCCATTTTTGTTTGGGAATATCAATGTGAAGGTCTTTGGACTAATGCGCTGCAGGTCTAGAGAATGCAAAATGCTCAGTGACCCCCCTCTTTCCATGGTTTAGCGTGAAAAGTAGAGATGCAATAGGTTACAGCCTCAATAGGGGTTGCTGGGGACAGGGAGCGGAGACCTGTCAACTTTGATCTGCGCTTATCCCACACCTGTAGGGCTAGTTTAACTTACGCTGGTAGTAGAGGGATGGATTGCCTGAATTTTGGGGGGAGCCACACTAGATTGGGGATGTTGAAGGGTTTCACTGCTAAGTTTTCAAGTAATACCCATTGTGGTTGGTTATTTCTAAGGAAGTGGGGTATTAGTGATGCTAGTATTGCTGCCTGGTAGTCATCCATTTGTTTCTTAAGGTCTTGTAGGAGTAGCCTACGTTTATCAGGGGAGTTAAGCCCTTGACATTGTATGTCATTATTTTCATATTATTACAGCTATATTAAGTGGTGTGGTTCAAGGGTATTGCAACATTCGATATATCCTGGGTACAGTCGTTAAGTACATCTGATACATTTGCTGTGTGGGCTGTTACTAAACCTTCACCCCAGAGTCCCTGAAAGCTCTGCTGTCTTTTTAACTGTGCCGATGTGTAATGAGTAACTGTTGGAGAGCATGGAGTCGTGGACAGGGCCGCAATCAGAAATGTTGGGGCCCATGACAAAGCACAAGGTCTGGGCCCCCCTCCCCTTCCCTCTTACCCAGGCCCGCCCACGCCCTACCTAGTCCACTGACAATGATGCAGGACTGAATGTGGTGTGTATAGTGGAAGTGAATTAGAATGTGTGTAATTGATGTAGTGTTTGTGTGTATTAGATACTGTTTGTGCAGTGAATGCAGAGTGTGTGTTTGTGTAGCAGATGCAGTGTGTATAGTGAATGCAGAGTGTGTTTGAGTAGTGGATGTAGTGTGTGTACAGTGATGTAGTGTGTGTTTGTGTAGTGGATGTAGTGTTTGTGTGTACTAGATGAAATGTGTTTAGTGGATGCAGTGGATGTAGTGTGTGTATTAGACGCAGTGTCTGTGTATAGTGAATGCCGAGTGTTTCAATTTGTGGTGGATGTAGTGTGTGTACTGTGAAAACAGGATGTTTGTGTAGTGGATGCTGTGTGTACAGTTAATGCAGAGTGTGTGTTAATGTGTAGTGAATGCAGAGTGTGTGTTAGTGTGTAGTGAATGCAGAGTGTGTATTGTACTAGTGTATGCAGAGTGTGTCTCAGGATAGTGTATGCAGAGTGTGTGTTGTATTGGTGTACGCAGTGTGTGTGTTGTATTAGTGTACGCAGTGTGTGTATTGTATTGGTGTACGGAGTGTGTGTATTGTATTGGTGTATGCAGTGTGTGTGTTGTGTTAGTGTATGCAGTGTGTGTTGTGTTAGTGTATGCAGTGTGTGTTGTGTTAGTGTATGCAGTGTGTGTTGTATTAGTGTATGCAGTGTGTGTGTGTTGTGTTAGTGTATGCAGTGTATGTGTTGTGTTAGTGTATGCAGTGTGTATGTGTAAATGTGCAATCTGGGGGTGGAGTGGGGAGGAAGGGGCATTTTCACAGTAATTTTTTAATTTTATATTAAATTAATTAAATGTTTCTCCCCCCTCCCTGTTTCTTACCTGTGTCCAGGGAGGGGGGAGATTCCATCCCTGGTGGTCCGGTGGCATGGGGGGGCCCCCCGGCTCCCTGTTACCACAGAGGGGGCCCAGCAGACTGCCTTTACTCTTCTCCTCTCTTTCAATAACTCTCGCGAGACCCGCGGAGCATTGCCATGGTAACCGGGTCTCGCAAGAGTTATTAGAAGAGAGGAGAAGAGAAGAGTAGAGGCAGTGTGCTGAGCCCCCTCTGCGGTAACAGGGAGCCGGGGCCCCGCGGCTGCACACATATATAGCGATATTCGCTATCTATGTGTGCAGAAAGGGAAAGTGGGACCGGGGACTGCCAGAGCAGTCCAGGTCCCCCAGTACCGCCGGGCCCATGACAACCATCATGGTTGTCACCCCCTGATGGCGGCCCTGGTCGTGGACCATGTAGCATCTGTAAGACATTTTAGCAAGCGTAATGAATAGAATTCAAGGGAGATTGAGTGGGTAAGAGAGGGATAAACCAGGCGGGTCAAGGGGGAGGGTACACAAACATTAGGATGGAGAACCCTGTTTGGCTTGGAGAACTTGAGCCTAAATGTGCCGCTTGTGGGGCTGGCGCACCTCGCGGGGCCGTGGCAGTGAGACTCTCTAATGTAGAGGTGTTCTCACAGACGAACTGATTAAAGCACATGCAATACCATAATTTTTATTTGCGATGGTACGTAGCCTAACTAGAGCAGAAGGGAAGTGCGTATGTCATCGGCACCACGTTATGCCCCTCGCATCTAGTTGCCTGCACATGAGGGAACCCAATAACTTTTTTTTTTAATTTTTTTGTGTGTTTTGTCTTTTTTAAGGAACCTAATAGTTAACTCATGGTAACCTGTACACATAACTGCCGTTCCTTTCAACCTTGTAAATTGGCCCTGGACTACTACTTGGGCAGTGCCAGCATCTAGCCATAGCGCCCTAACGCCCGGTCAGCTACCAATGAGATAAACTTAGTACAGGGGGTATCTGATAACACAAACATAGTAAATTTGAACAGTGAATCGCCCAACAACTTATCTATATCGAAGCATGACAACAGTACATGACCGAGAGGGACAAACAGCCATAATTACGTGCTCCCTATGGACGCTATTAATCGGATCAGTGAGCAGTCCATTCCGGAGACATTATGGGGACCTTAGCCTGCCTGGCAATCGAGGTATCCGGTATTGGGATCCCCCAGTGCTTCAACTTTTGGATGCTTGGAGCCAAGCCCGTAACAGCATGCATTGCTTCCTGGTTTAAAACCAGGAGTTTGGCCGGGTATCCCCATCTGTAGTTCAGGTGGTTGTCACGCAGAGTGGAAGTCAGGAGTGACAGCGATTTCCAAAACTGCAGCCTCTCCGCCAATAGGTTTGCGAAGACTTTGATGTTACTATATTTGTCCGACATGATCGTATTCCTACTCACACGAACTATGCGCTCTTTGGCGTGGAAGAAATTGATCCGCACTGTGACATCTCTCGCCACTGTTGTACGTAAGTGATTGGGCCTTCTCAGTCGATGCACTCAATCTATTATTAGCTGGTCTGGGTGGATTTCTAGTGTGAGGTTTTGAAACAAGTCAATGAGGGAATTGTGGAGTTCTGCATTGGTTACCAATTCTGGTATGCCTCTGAACCACAAGTTATTTATCCTGGACCTGTCTTCCATATCGGCAAGCTTAAATCTGTGTGCAGCCAGTGTGTCTTCCATCTCCTGGAACTTGTCTGCCAGACTATTATGGGCCACCAGATACTTGTCCAGTTTAGATTCCATCTGGGACATGCAGCTCACTATGTCCTGGATTTCTTTCTGGAGTTCGGAGGTAAGTGTTTGCATCTGCAATTTGATGGTGTTCTGTATGGAATCAGAAAATTCCGCCATCATCTATCTCATTGTGCCCATAGTCAGTGGCTGTGCATCTAGGGAAGGGCCCAGAGAGGCTGGGGGTGACAGTGAGCTCTCTCTCGAGCAAACCTCTCCACCATCTTATTTAGGGTTGAGGCCTTCACGCAGTTTCAGGGGCGCCACCTTTGCCAAGAAGACGGAAGCTCGGTCCACCTTGATCGCTTTCGTTTTTTGATGCTGGGACATTGTGCCGTCAGTTGGTCAGTAATTATTTGTGTATTTGCTCTGTAGACCGCTTATTTGGTGCTTTTTTTTAATTCTTTTGCCAAGAGCTGATGTTACATGCGGCAGCTCAGTTTGCCCCTTTTTTCTATATTTTATTATACATCAATTGGAAAAGCTTGAGACTTTGATCTCTTAGCGACCCTTTGCAACTGTTCTTTACTTGATTATGTAGTAGTGTTCATATTCAAATATTTAAAGCTGGTAAAGCTGGGATGGGGGGAATTGAAACTTGACAAATAAATTGTATAATTCATCTCAAAGTTCACATAATTTGTTAAATTAATTTTCACAGAGAACATGAAGTAAATAAATAAATAAGTATAATACCATACTTTATATAGATACATTTCACCAAACTGCTTGTTAAAACTGTACCTTAATTAGCAGCAATAGCATGTATGAGATTCAAGTTTGCTCATCAAAACATTAATCAGTGATGTGTTAGGCAGAAAAGTCCTTGATTAATTGCTTGTAAAATGCAACATAAAATTAGTTCAATCAACAAGAAAGCAAATAGCAGCTGCGAGCAGCCAAACTGCACACATTATTCAAGACATTTTTGTCATACTTGCAATTCTTTGTACAAGTGTGTGCAGTTCCAATTTAACTAATCCATATCATTCCTCTCTCTCGCTGGGAGTGTGTAGATACATAAAGGCATATATATTTTATTTATTTATTTATTTATTGTATCAGACAGTAAGGATTGAGTCCTAGGCAGTTGTGTGAAAGAAAAAACAAAACAAAAAAAACTTTACCTAAATAATTAAGAAATGGGGGCGACATGAAGCGTGGGATCACTGCTTAATGCGCACGGCAAGGGGCCAACTGGCAATTTGTGCACTTTGGGCGGTGCCCAAAGGAGAGGTCCTGCCCCATCATGCCGCCGGGTTTGGAACCCCTACATTTGGGCCAGCCACAGCACTATGCATTTCAAATGATGGCTACCATGTACGCTCAGCAACCCAGGCCTGAACAGCATTGCCCCTATAAGTTCAAGTGTTCCGTGCGTGCGTTGCCCAAGGTAAGTCACAGGGAGAGGAAAAATAACTTTTTTTAGTTGTGTTTTTTGCTTTTTTTTTAAATTGCCACTCATGCCATATTTAAACACTAGAGGCTCTTTTCACCACTACAGCCTATATCACCACATTACAGCCCTTACACCCCCTTTACAGCCTCTGTCACCACATTACAGCCCTTACACCCCCTTTACAGCTTCTGTCACCACATTACAGTCCTTACACCCCCTTTACAGCCTCTGTCACCACATTACAGCCCTTATACCCCCTTTACAGCCTCTGTCACCACATTACAGCCTTTACACCCCCTTTACAGTCTATATCAACTCATTTTAGCCTTTACCCCCCCCCCCAGTACAGCCCCTAACCACCCAGCCCACACACTACAGTCTCTATCGATAATCATCCTCACTGCAGCCCATATTTTTTGCTTTTTTAAAATTGTCACTCATGCCATATTTAAACATTAGAGGCTCTATTCACCACTACAGCCTCTATCGCCATATCACAGCCCTTACACCCCCTTTACAGCCTCTGTCACCACATCACAGCCCTTACACCCCCTTTATAGCCTCTGTCACCACATCACAGCCCTTACACCCCCTTTACAGCCTCTGTCACCACATTACAGCCCTTACACCCCCTTTACAGTCTATATCAACTCATTTTAGCCTTTACCCCCCCAGTACAGCCCCTAACCACCCAGCCCACACACTACAGTCTCTTTCGATAATCATCCTCACTGCAGGTCTCAACTTCCCACTACAGGCCCCATTTCCCACATTACAGTCTCTGTTACCACATTACAGCCCCTACAATACCTACAGCCTATCACAGCCCTACCCCCTATTAGAGCCCCTAATTACCCAACTCAACCACTACAGCCGCTAACTCCAACTACAGCTCCTGTCAACCCACTAGAGCCCCTAACAAACCCATACACCACACAACAGTCTCTATCACCCTTTTACAACCCAAATCCCTCACTACTAAGTCCCCACAACAGCCCCAGTCCCCCACTAACGCTCCTAGCCCCCACATTACCACCCTTTCTGTAATACAAGCATGTGAGCAGGGATTATAAAAATATAGCTTGCAAATTGGCAGTCCCAAGGGGGCCCCAGAATCTTCTATTCCCCTGGGGCTCAACGAGATCCACCTGCGGGCGTCTAGAGAATGTATAGAGAAACAGTGAGAGAGAATATTTGTTGAGAGATATATAATGATTGTTCTAGGAATGCGTTTCAAGAGAAATTTGCATCCAAGGAGTAAAGGTGACAGTAGACGTTCACTCTCAGCGGGTACGTCCCGGATAGCCTGACATGCTTGATCTGTCACTTGCATATGGCAGAACAAAATCAATAAAAAAATAAACAACATTCTCTCACAGCTCGTATTATCAACAGACAAACCCTCACTACAACAGCACATACAAACAAATAAAAAGTCAGAAATAAAAAAACATGCCAGAGATTCCTAGGATCCCCTATTTGGAGGGAGACACACAATCGCCCCCCCTAAAAAATGCAATCAGTAACCGAGTGCCCTGAATCATTTGTTCTTAGTGCCACAATACAATGAAATTATACATTTATCCTATGACTGGCAATATGTTATTTATTTATTTTTTTAAATTGTAATTGTAGACATTAACTTTTTCTCTGCTCATCTTTCCATATATTTTTTTTTTATATATAGAGTACATTGGTATTTAACGTCAACGCATGCATACATCAAATTCCAGGTGAATGTAAACCTCAGTAACTCATCCCATCATACCACTGAACTCTGTAATCACCTGGAGGAATGAAGCCAAGCGAAAGACTGTATCATCTAGGTCATAAAGAGGGCAACAGGAAAAATTAATATGCAGCGTATCGGTAAAGAGTACTGTGCACATTATATTGTACAAAATGCACAAGGGGACCACCTCGTAGCCTAAAGAGAACAGTTGTATTTTTATTAAACATCTTTTTAAATTTTTATAGATACACGTCTTCTAGAGGTATGTGAAAAATGTTAGCTTTTGCCGTCAACAAAACACAAAAGGATAAGATTCTGCAAACCCTCCGAGTTCACAACAAGTACAAGCCCATAAATATATATATTTATATCTATATATCAATAATCAAAATCAATTAAAAAAAATCAACATTCAAAGGATTTTGATATATATATACACCAAGATCCTTGGAAGAGCTGAGATGGTCTTATACTAATTTAAGGTTATTTAGCTATTATGCCAGTCATAAACGTTCGTTATACCTCACATATTGACCAGTTGACGTTGACTTGTTTTAAGTTATTGTTTTTATTTTCCTCTTATTTCTTTTTCTTTACTGGAGGGTATTTTCTCTATCCTCATATTCTGTATTGATGATGTACACAGTCACTACGATATGTATTTTAAATGCAATTATCTACAAGGATTAATAGTTAAATTTCATTTTAAAACTGTACATTGTGATATATGTGGATTCCTACTTTTATTATTTGTGTATTGTATGATTTCTCTCTTGCAACTGTCGTTAGTCTAATACTATCCTTACCTTTTTGTGTCACTTTACCCCACTCCCTCTAGCATGTAAGCTCATTGAGCAGGGCCCTCAACCCCTCTGTTCCTGAGTGTCCAACTGGTTACAACTACGTGTTTGTTCGCCCACCCACTGTAAAGCGCTGCGGAATTTGTTGGCGCTATATAAATAACATAATAATAATGTATCATTCTGGTAGCCCTTTGTACGTCTTTTAAAAAAAGGTAAAAGGGTGTGGAACATGAAGACAGTGGTAGTAACAGTTGTGTTAGGACCATTCGGTGCTGCAACCCCCAAGTTGGTTGAGTGGCTGCAGCAGATTCCAGGTGGGACATCTGAGATCGCGGTCCAGAAGAGTGCATAGACATTCCCTCTCAGCGTGTATTCCCCCTGATAGCCTGACCTGTGCTTGTTCTCATGCTTGCATATGGTTGAGTGGCTTCAGCAGTTTCCAGGTGAGACAACTCAGATCTGTGTCCAGAAAACTGCAATTCTAGGAACAGCTATGACTGTGAAGCAGACTCCCAGGCCTCTGGCAGAAGAGCTGAAAATGAGGAATACACAGACGTACCAACCAGATTAGAGAGATTAGAAAATATATATATGTATATATATATATATTCACCACTTGATACTTTTGTTAACACCAGCCACAAATTTATTATAAACGGTAGTCAATGGATTTTTAGATTTTAGGATTTGCATATTCAGGTTCATCCAGGTGCAGCAGGGATGCGACAACATTGATTAGTTTATACTTTGTATTTACTGCTAAAGATTTCTGTGCATTTTCTATAGAAAAGCTACTACAGCACTCTGCATTTTCTTGACTTCTTCTTGACTGTATTATTGTTAGAGTCAATAATATAAACCAGGTTTTTACCCACACCCTCTCGCAATACATCCATGAGCATTGGGAGAGTTTGGGAGTGCCTTCACTATAACTTTGGTGACGATTGGGCTTACAGCTACACCCCATTAATGTTGATAGAATGGAAGCCCTTTGGACAGGCACTGATGGCAACATTACCAAACTGGAGCAGATTGTTGATTAAATGGCCTTTCTAATAAAACACATTAGAGGATCCTGAGAATTAGGAAACCTGTTTATTTAAAGTAAATTATGTTGGCTTCAATTTCAATATTCTGAAAATGCTTGCTCTAGCCCATAATCCAGCACCCCCATAAATATCACATCAACCTTTTATAAGCGGATCATTAGTGGCTACAGGAGTTTTTTAAATATGAAAATCTACAGCAAAGATTCGCTTGAAGGCTAAGAACTCTCTTGTGTTCTGTAGATGCCATGTGACAATTTACTTAACACAGTGGACCTATGTTACATAGAAATCATCGTACACATGATGTCAAACTGCCTGATATGACTTCATAGAAGTATGTTTATAAACAACTTTTGATAGACCTGAAGGAAGTAAGTGTATTTTAATGCATAAAGGAAATAAATCAATTATAAAAATGTATACGTGAAGTATTTATTTTTACATCTTAAAATACTTTCTATGCCAAATCCCTTTTGCTTTTATCCTCCAATTCTACTCCCTGATATTAGCGATTAACTACCCAGACAGCTGGCAAATGATCTGTGAATGCAAAATTATCCTATTACTTCATTACAACTCCTTCCACTCCACTTACATAATACATAGTCCTTCTGCGGAAGATGTTTTACATTCATAAATGTCAAATACTACTCATTATTAAAACAGATTTTTTTTTTGTTGTGAAGCAACCATGGGAAAACCCCACTTCCCATATCTCGTTATTATAACTTTGCACAGGGACATCCCCGGTCTTGTTGGGTACATTGGATTTAAATACTGCCTGTTCTTTTGCAACACTGCATTACTTCCAGCCCAGTAAAAACACATTGCTCAAATTATTACAGCTCATCAGATCAACTTGTGTTTTCAATTTCCATCCCGTAAATAATATATGCCCAGTGCTTCAACCTTTAACTTTTGGATGAAATAAACTTTATCAAATACTCTCTAGGTTAGTCTAAATATGAAAAAGAAAACTCAGTTATATCGAATTATCAATAAATGAATGCAAATTAAGTGAATTACTGAATTATTCCTTTTTTGGAAACTGAAAACATTGTCAATACTACCAATTTGTTTTTTCTAATGTCACTAACTTACTGTTTAGTGAGTGAATACCATCAATTGTATTGTTGTTTGTTATTTTGTAAATCATTGGGAGGGAAGGAAAACTAAAATTATCAACGTGCTGTTTATGAAGAGATGCACCATGAAAACAGTGCCGTCTCTCAGTAATGGCACTATTTTAATTTGCAAGGACTGCATGGTGCAGCATCATTGCCCTAAAATTATCATTAGGATGAAGTGATTTTGGTGCTTAGAGTGTTACTTTAACAAGCTGACTCTACGAGGTGTAGAGGCTGGAATCACTTGAACTCAATAGAATTGTGTTTTTGGTAATTGTCCATATCAGATAGGTAGGATTTGATGATGGGACATTTGATGTTTGGGGTGGAAGGGACATTTCAACTATGACTAGTGACAGTCCAACAGAAACAAATCTTGTAGTTCTGGCCACACAACAAAAACCCACAGAGGACAGTGGAATCTAACAGACAGCACCAAAGAGTCTGTCTAGTACTGTACAACCCAAAATTAGGTAAACAAATATACCTATTAATGAGGGGGAAAAATATCAGAAACCCTAATCTTTAATCCTTTGTTTGCATTTACAAATATGTTCAGAAATAATTGAGTGTCTTTCTACAATTTCTTATTGTTCTATACAATCGTCAACTTTGTGAGTGCCACAGTTTTAAGCATTTCAAATTAAGAACATAATCAGTTGGTGTCAAACATACCGCAGATTCCTGTTTTATTTAAAAGAATGTTACATTGTCTCCAGACAACCAGAACTGTAAGCACTGATGAAAATCTGTCCAGTGTTAAGTCCATTAACGACCCCTTACAGTCTTAATCGGGTTCCCAATGTGCTACAAAACATAAACGTATGCATTATCTTGTCATAAAATTATTGTCTTGAGCATTGCAGGTTTTGGAGGTACTCACAAAGTCTTGGGGGGGGAAAAAAAACAGGATGAGGTTTATTTTGTCTTGTCTAAACCTTTCAATAAAACATAAGGCATGGAAAAAACATAATTAAAAAAGCTTTAAAATAAAAAAAACTATCATTTATCTTCATTTAATTCTTTTGCACACTAGATGGCATGGTATAAAATGATTTTACCAAACATCATTGGAATGTATTTCACATGACTAAAAATGTTAATATGCCAAGTCATAGACCTTGATTAGATAGCTAGGCAGCACTTCCTTGAAGCCACATGACCTTTATTACATTACCAGTTTATATGAGAATACGGCATAGAGAAAAGAAAATCAATTCACACTTAGCAATTATGAAACAAGGTCATACACCGAACCTCGGTCATGAGTTTGATGTCATGTGACACATTGTTGTATGTAGAAAGGTATGATGATAATGAACCAAACATTCTTCTATGTTTATAAACCAAACAAAAATGTTTGGTATTCAAGCACTGAATATTATTGCCATTTAATATAGATACTGTTTGGTATTTGTTCCCTGAATACCGATACCACTTTTTTATTTTAAATGTTTTAAAAAGAATGGCAGCAGTATAAATTAACATTCATTAATACATAAACTTGTTATTAGTTTTTATTCACATAAGAGCTAAAGGAAGTCGACAAGTGACTCGTAAAATAATCATCTCACGTGGGTTTATTGACTAAATTTGGAGTAATGAAGAAAGAAATAGTTACGTTGAAGAATTTTTCCAATTTGGCTATTTATGACTAATTTGCAAGTCTATTGTCATTTTTTCCAATTCCTAATTTAGTTAATAAATTCAAAATAAATGTAACAATATGGTAGATGCATTTAACAAAACACTTTAAGTCACCATTACAGTGTTCTATAGTGTTTATGGTGCCAGGAATGCCGTGGTACCCTACCAGGGTAAGTAGCAAAACCGTTTGCGAGCAGATTATGTTCTACTGGATTCCGGGTGCTCTTCCACTGGGGCCCAGAAGCTCCTGCAATGAGTTTCTCCTGTATCTATTTTTAGTTTACACTGAATAATAGTCCTGACTAACTTGACATCTCTGTGCTTCTATCGTAGTCCAAGCAGCGAAACATCCAGTGAGGCTGAATGTTTCAGCTGAACACTTTAAACCTATCACAGTGGCCCATTGCTGATACAAATTTTTAAGGTATAGCTTGTTCTCAACCTTAGCCATCCCTAAATTGTTGCAGAGAATGTGACCCTAGTTCAGTGTAAAAACATTGGGTGGAGGGATTGTGTTAAGGGACTCCAAGCAGTATAATCAGTTCATTTATAATAAGAATCCTGCCTAGAATGCCCCTTATATTTTGCAATGGCAAGAATCAGGTTAAATTCATGCTACGAAGATAAAATATGTAGGAAAAAAAATAACAGTAGGTGGATGAGAAAGAAGAGACTCTGAATGAAAATGGGGATAGTAGGGGGGAGGGGGTGAAAGGACAGGGGAGGTAAGATAGATTGTGGGGTTGTGGGCAGCAGTAGTAGGTCCTCCCAAGATTACTTTTAATAGTTCGTGTGCACCTGTAAGCATATTAGAGTCGGATATGTCTGAATCTACCAAACCTTGGAGATTTGTGCTACAGAATTTGGGATATGAGCAGTGAGTGTTTCCATCCTGTAAAAATAGCACATTTTACGATATATACATTGCAGACAAGATGGGGTGAGCTGTCATGCATACTCTGTGGACCAATTTCAAGGAGGATCTGAATAGTTTATGTTTTCGTTCAGTAGAGCGAAGCCGGAATCTGAGCATTTTGTGGTATCAAAACATTGTAGAAACCTTCCAATAAAGAATATATCAAGCTTTATTTTTTCTGACATTAATGTTTACTCACAGATACTGATATTTACATTATATCCACCAACATTGAGACAGGAGTTAGTAAGCCCAAGGAATGTGTGTACCAGTTAAGTGTGTTGTGGAAGGGCACGTGCCTCAGGCCAACACGGAATTCCACAACAGAAATACACTACAACAGACTTATTCTGATCTTTTTGCCCACTT